ACCACCTTACCAAGGTATGTTACAGTGGCCTGAGCAAAGTTACACTTTGCAAGTTCACAGTCAACTTGGCTTCCGACAGACGACTCAAAACTGCATGCAGACGTTTTAAATGCGAGTCCCAACTGTCACTAAACACAACAAGATCGTCCAAATACACAGCACACCCGTCAAGGCCCGATACGACCCGGTTCATCAGACGTTGAAAGGTGGCAGGCGCATTTCGCAGACCAAAACTCATAACCGTGTAAGAATAAAGGCCTGATGGAGTGACAAAGGAGGATATTTCTTGAGCTCGCCGGGTCAAAGGCACTTGCCAATAACCTCTTAGCAAGTCAAGTTTAGTCACATACTTAGCCGAACCTACCTGGTCAACACAGTCTTCCACCCGAGGGAGTGGAAAACTATGAGGTCTTGTCACAGTATTGACTTTTCGAAAATCTGTACAAAACCTTACTGAACCATCAGGTTTTCTAACTAACAGACAAGGAGATGCCCACTCTGAACATAAAGGAACAGCAATGTCATTTTCCTGCATATACTTAATTTCAGCTTCCATCAACTCTCGTTTTTCTGGTGACACACGATAATAACGCTGTTTTATAGGGGAAGCATCACCCACATCAATATCATGCTCGGCCCAGTCTGTTCGGGACGGTGTATCTCCAAATAACTCAAGGAAACTCTGCAGAAGGGTACTCAACTCTGCTATCTGCAAAGGAGACAAATGGGCAAGAGTAACATTTAATTTTTCCAAAGATTCAGAGTTATTTAAACGTCCACGTAAAACACAATCATCTGGGTCTTTACCCTCACTCTCGCTTTGCCCAGAACAAAGGCCATCTTTAACAACTGAAGCAGCACAGAGAGCAGAATGAACAGGGTTGACATCTGCACTAGACCTCTCATAATATGGTTTCAATAAGTTCACATGATATACCTGGGTTGACTTTCTCCGATGCGGAGTAGCCACCTCATAATTTTCGTCACTCAATTTACGTTTTACGACATACGGGCCTTCAAATTTCGCCTCGAAAGGAGAAGAAAGCAAAAGACGTGACACCAGAACCTGATCTCCTGGCTCAAAAATACGACGTTCCACTTTGCGATCATACAACCGTTTCATGCCTTCCTGTTGTTTTTCCAGTTTATTTCTAGCCAGTGTTCTAGCCTGAACCAACCTCTGTCTAAATCCATAAACGTAAGACAACAAATTTTTCGGCGAGTCAGAAATTCGGACCTCATTTTGTAGCACAGCCAAAAGCCCACGAACTTTGTGACCAAAAACTAAATCGTTTGGACTAAATCCAGTGCTTTCTTGCACAACCTCACGTGCAGCCAGTATTAACCAGGGCAAACCCTCCTCCCAATCTCTATCCAACTGTACACAATAAGCACGAAAGAGAGACTTCAAAGTTTGATGAAATCTCTCTAACGCTCCTTGGCTTTGTGGATGATACACACTAGCAAGATTATGTCTAGGGGTATGATTCTCGCTTGGGGTGCGAGAGGTCCCAGGTTCAGATCCCGGACGAGCCCCCATTTGTTACGCCCCGTGGCTCAAAAGGGACGCAACAAAATTGGGACACACGAGAAAGCTGAACTTTTAAAGAAATTATTTATTAACACAAAGGAAATTATACAAAACTGTGTAATGTAGCAGTCAGATATCAGTAGTGTCATGCTAGGTGAATGTGCGGA